AAACCTAAAGCTAAAGACATTTTTGTCCCAATGATTCCTTAAAGTGTTTCTCCCATCATTCTTCCACAGAGGTATTAATATTGGAATAGAAAATGAAGTTTCATGTCCTTGTCTTACATTCAAAGCAATACTAGGCTAGCACCCCGAGGAAAAGGACTTGAAAAGCCCCAATCACTGTCTATGTTCCAATAACCAAAGGAAGCAGCTGAAGCCTGCTAAATCCCACAGACTACAGGTATTCAAAGGAGTAGGGGGCAAGGAATCTCCTTTTTCTAAAAAGCTGATGTGGGGTAGAAAAACAATTTCTTCCACCTACTACCACACACCCAGAACTTAGCTGCATGTGATCCTGGCAAACAGGAGAGGGGATCACAGTCACAGAACACTGTCCATTCACTACACAAGGCTGAAACTCACTTGCTTCTGCAGTGCCCTTCCTGGCTGGCTCAGCACACAGACAAAAAAGACAGAAGTGCACATATGAGGGGATGAGAGTATTGGGAGGCTCTCTGCAGCCTCTCTGTTCTCTCTATATAAAGAACAGCATCAGTGAGGGGACATGAAGTCCCACATGGTTTCATTTCATGAGAAACGCTGTGACTTCCCTTACAGCAAACTGCTTAGAAGCAAATTTTTACTTTAACTGCACACTCCCCAAAATGGTTCCCAAGATGTTGTCTCTCTTTGGTCAACATCTAAGAGAAGTCTGGAAAAGGGGAACAGATTCTGTTGTGAAAGGAGTGAGGAAATGAAATTTCACATCATTTAACCTCACACAACATTTGATCACCCCTAATCATTTTGTAAAACATTTAAAGGTCACAAAAGTTTAGTCAAGATTACACCCCAGCTGGATGTGGTGACTCATGCCTTTTAATCCCAACTCTCGGGAGGTGGAGGCAGGCAGATCTCTGTGAGATTGAGGCCAACCTGGTCTACATAGTGAGTTCTAGGCAGGCTGGGACTAAGGTGACCCTGTCAAAAAAATATTACAGACTAGACATTTCACCCCAATTCAATCGTTCTCGTCTAACCAAATTTTAAGATTGAAAAAATATGATTTTCACAAAGTATAATAGGAACTTAATCAGACAAATGTTCAAATAATATTAAATCCTTAATGAGAATCTACTTATGAGGACGAGAGTTACACTCCTGTAAACTCAGTCCTGACAGAGATTTTACACAGTTATCAGCCCAATTCTGAAAAGGCCATGTGGCCTCATCTAATCACATAGCTGACTAATTTACAGGCAAATCTAGAACCTCAGAGATCGAAAGATGCTAAATGCACCAGAGTTTATACAATATCCATACATAGCAGTGTTAGATATTTTTTAAAAAATAATCATGTGTAACTATATATTAGCCCCATTATATAAGCATTTATCGTACGTCCTCGGTTTTTGAAAAAAAAAAAAAAGGAATGTGATATAAGCAGTAAAGCTTAGACAGAGAAGCTGAAATTTCTGCGTTCATAAATTTTGGAGCCTGGGCCCACAACGTGCTGAAAGATTAGTTCACACACCCCTCACTGTCATCCTCCAGTGTCACAGTTGGTGTTCCCGTTTCAGAGATGGGAAGCACTGAGCAGAGTAGTTAACTGACATTTCCAAGGTCACACTGTGGCATCCGATGGACAGCACATAAAAGCAGTCATACTTCATGGAAAATTGAACACAGGTGTTCAAACCCACATTATCTGATTTCTGAATTTTGGAGCCTAACAATGTTTTGTTGTTTGTTACCATCTCACAGGTAAAATCCTCTCCAACTCTTTTTTTAATCTTTCTTTTTTCTCTGCAGAAATTAACCCAAGAATAACCTTTGCGGAACTCCTGCCTCAACTGTCCCCAAGTGTTTCCTGACATGCATCTCTGCTCACAGCGAATCACAATTAAAGAATGGGGCTCAACCTGACACTTGCAAAATTACCAAGTAAGTCAGAGGGAAGATGCAAAGAATACTGTACTTTATCATGACCTTATTTAAGCTATGTGACAGTGTGGGGCTTTTACAGTCACGAAACCGACTAACACCCTGGCACGTG